TCAGCTGGTGTCGGCAGTGTGTGGATCCAGATTGCAGTTCAGATTTAGGTCCACAGGTCTCATTTTGGAGTCCAGGCTAACAGATTAACAGATACCTAAGGCATGTTCTTTTCAGGGTGAGGGAAGAAGCACAAGAGTACAAAACCCAACCATACAAATGCATTTCAAGCCTCAGCTTGAATAAAGTCAAGTAAAGTCACATGGCTAAGCCCAAAATCAAGGGGCAGGGAAGTCACTTTCACCCACCATGTGGCTATGGCAAGGGTAAGCATCTAAACTACTACAGCATAGAGAAGAATTGGGAGCAATAATTCATTAAGCCACAGCATGTATTCTCAAGCTCTGAGTGTTCAGCATGAGCCTTAATCAACTCTAAAAGACATTCTTTTGCTGCAATGGCCTGTGTGGGTTGTGAGTAGTAAAGACTGATGCTGCAGCCACGCCAAAGGTCTTTGTCTCTCCGTGTAGTACACTAATTGCCTTAGGCACTCCTTTTATCTATTCTTAGGGTTCTGATTCAGTGCACCCTACGTTGCGGTTTGCAGTCTCAAATTAGTCACACTCTTTCATTCTATGAGCTCTGAGTCAGTTGAGAAATATTCAAAGTTCTGGTGTGAATTCAGTACAGTACAGTAGTCCACCATATCTGATGGGGATACATTCTAAGATCCCCAGTGGATGCCTGAAATCACAGATAGTACAAACCCTATATATGTTATGTTTTTTCCTATACATATATACATACGATAAAGTTTAATTTATTAATTAGGTACAGTAAAAGATTAACAACAATAACTAATAATAAAGGTGGCTTTGGGCTATTATTAAGTAAAGTTTACTTGAATACAAGCACTGCAATACTGTGACCGTCGATCTGATAACCAAGATGGCTACTAAGTGACTAACAGGCAGGTAACCCATACAACATGGATACGTGGGACAAAGGGATGATTCACCTCCCAGGAGGGACAGGACAGCTCAAGATTTCACCACACTGCTCAGAACAGCCTGCAATTTAAAACTTATGAATAGTTTATTTCTGGAATTTTCCATTTAATATTTTTGAACTGCAATTGACCATGAGTACCTGATACCCCAGAAAGCAAAACTGTGCATAAGGCCGGGACTACTGTATTAGCTTTCTTATTGGTGAAGCTGACTTGGATGCCAGACTAAAATGGGCTTCCCACTATTTCCCCTCCTGCTGTGAACTTACCTACCTAGTCAAGGGCATCACTCCTAGAGAGCACCCATCTGCTTTGTTTACTGCATGGAAAGAAGAAAAGCTGGTCAGGTTAATCCAGGATACGAGAAATCCAGGATACGAGAAACATAGGGTGAGAAGAGTGTTCAAACTGAAAAATTAGTTCTTGTGGAGGCCTTGGGGCAGGAAACAGAGCCACTGATAAGTGGCGTCCATTGCAGAAGTCTCCAGGCGCTCTGAGTGAATCCCTGGAGTGAATCCCTCAAGCGAGCGATTCACTATTCAGGTGATGTAATTGCTGAAGATGAAGACCCTTGGGCAATTTAGCCTGAGGAAATTAGGCCCAGAGGGAACCTGAGAGTCGGTCACACATAAAAGAGAAGACTTAACTTCATTATTCAGTAAATATTTATTGAGTACTACTTTATGCTAGACACACTATTGTGTTGTGTGTGTAGAGGATTTAGCAATTAACAAACTAGCCATATACCTGTCATGCGGGACTTACATTGTTTACAGGATGGGGTACTAAAAATAAACTAATAAAATAAAAAATATATACTATGATAGAAGGTAATAAATGGTAAAAAGAAAAAAAATGATCAAAGAAGAGTGTCAGCGTACACTGGTGAGGCAGAGTACAGTTTCAGAAAGGATGGCCAGGATAGGTGACATTTGAGCAATCTGGAGGAAATGGGGCCATGGGGATAGAGCATTCTGCACAGAGGTACTAGCAAGTGCAAACACTTGAGGAGGGTGGTGCTGGGGATGCAGGTTGAGGGACAGTAAGAATGCCAGTGTGTGAGAAAGCAGTAGGACATGAGTCCGGGTGGCTAATGGGGTGGTGGTGAGAGGAGAGGAAGGGAAGATCAACTTGTAAGCAATTGCAGTGCCCCAGGTGTTTATTCCATAAGATGGGGAGTCAATGGAGTATTTTGCACATAGGGGACATGTGGTCTGATCTACCTTTTACAGCAAAGGTTGGGCTACTGTGTTGGGTACAGACTAAATGGGACCAAGGGTCATAATTCTCTGTGCTCCTGCAGAAATAACTAGAGGCAGTAGGTAGAAGGGGATGACTTTTCTACCTAAATAACCCCACTTCGCTGACCGTCCAGCAGTGTAACTGGCTGCCAGTCACCCTGGGAGTTGCAGTCAGCAGCTTGTCACTGGCAGTCCCAGCAGAATATAGGGATGTTGATGCTGGGAAATTCCTACCTCAAATAAGGCATCAGACTTATGACATCCCAGATTCCTTCCAATACTGAGCATCTCTGATTCCACAGCGTGCGTCCTCAATCTCCCCCAGTTAGAATATCAGCTCCAGGAATGCAGGGAGTTTTGCCTGGTCTGTTCATTGCATATTGAACATTGTTCATTGAACAATCATATTGTTCATATTCTCGGTGCCTCAAATAGTGTCAAGCATGTAGCAGACACTCAGTATTTGTTAAATGTATGAATGTCTCTGTAAAACTTACTGCAGGACCTTGAACAATGCACTTTTCTTCTTTGTACCTCAGAAAATAAGAAAGGCAGATTGGATGGCACCTGATGAACTTTCCAGGTCTGCCAGTCCGTGATCCCATTTCAGACTCTGAGCCATTGTTTCTAAAGGGCTTTTTGCAGGCTAAGGGGTGTATGAAGGGGTGTTCATGGGGAGGAGAGGCAGGGATGGGTAAGGGCAAAGCTGAGTCAAGGAGAAGTGCAGGGATATCCTCTGGGGCTGGGGACCAGGGCACTCTCTGAAAGTAAATGTGAATTGTCTCTTTGAGATGCACAGGGTTCTGATTGTAATATGGGATGTTTCCCTAGAAACTGAGGCTACAGGACACTGAGGACCCATCCTGAGCATGTTGTCTTTGCCTCATTCGAGTCAGCCTGGTCAACAAAGTGTTCACATGTCCCTGAGGCTGTCCTGGGAAAAACAGCATAAATAGCAGCAGGGACTCCTTTTAAGTGTATTGAAAATACATTTTTTGTTTCAATGAAGTTCCCAAGTGATGATATTCTTTAAGCAAAGAGTACCATCACGGCACAGCGTTACTATATGTCCCCAGACACCCACAAGGCAGCAAGTTCATGTCCCCCAGGGGTTTAGTAGAGCTGCCAACATTGACGGGTGGGCTGATGGGGCCCAGATCTGATACTAGATAAGCCAACAGACATGCCATCATATTTATTGAAGACAAATCCAGTAGAAAAAGATGCACACTAGGTAACTGCAATGATTTTACGTTGCATTTAGCTTTAGTTTATTTCAAGCAGAAGAGTGATTTCAGTATCTAGAAGCATGCATATAGGGGTGTCTTCCATGCACCCTGTCCTACAAGTTGTTTTCACTACAAATTAAAGGAAGTTGAGCTCAGCTTCATGGTGATCTAGGAGAAAGAAAAAATAATAGCTACAATTTAGTTACTTATTAATTGTGAGGCTATTGACATCTATGTCATTTACTCTTTCTATTAATGCTACAGGTAAGTACTATTGTTGCCTTCAATTTACAGATGGGGAAACTGAGGCTCAGAGAGAATGTCTGGCCCAGGGTCATATAGCTAGTAGAGGACAAACACAGTACTTGAACCCAAGTGTATGCTCTGAAATTAGATGTACATGAGATTGTAGTGTATATTCCAAAAGGATAGTGTCATTGCCTTTCAAACTCAAATGCTAGAATAATCACAGTTATAACTGCAGGGAACAGTGTTTTAAATAAACAAAATCTATATCCTGGCAGATGATCTCAGTGTCACAGGGAGACACTGGAAAACAGAGAGAGATGAACCCAAATTCTAGGGGTTTCAGCTATTGTGACTCTGTTCTTTCTCCAGACACTGGAGCAGGCACCTTATCCTGTGGATTTTTGACCCATATGGGCCCAGGGAAGGTTAGAGTGTGGACAGCACTGCAATACCCGGCCATCCATCCTCCCATCCGACAGTACAAGGGCGGTCACCTTCTTCCTGGAGTCATTTCACTCCTTAGGCCTTAAGGTCCTTGCGGCGCCGGCCAAAGACTTTGAAGCCCATTTCTGTGGGCAACAAGTTGGTGTTTGCCATATTCCCAGAGCTGCTCAGCAAGCCTACCAGCTGATGGGTCAGGCAGGTGGCAGTGTTGCAGGATCTCTTCTGGGCAGTGACCCTGATTTGTAGGATGGAGAAAAAGAAAAGACCTGTCATTGAGAGGCTGAGGGCAGGAGCCTGCCCCATGGCACTTTCATGGTAAAATTACTGCTCCGAGAGGCAACAATGAACCTTAAGCATTTCTCCTACACACAGTTATCGGAGGAGAAAATCATAGGCCATTAGGGAAAATGCCATGATCACTCCCCATAGACATACCCAGAAGTGTCAGAAAACCCAATGGTGGCTCTGGGTACCTGTCCATGGGACACAGAGTTGTAACAGCTAATCTTTCCTGTATAAATAAACTAAAAATCAACCAAGGCTTATGAGACTGGAGAGAATTATGGCGCCACACCCAACCCCACCACAAGGATTGTCTAGAAGTTACATCCCACTCAAAGACACTAAATATCCCTTCTAGGCATACAAAAATTTTGGAGACTCACCTGGAAAAGGAAGAAAGTTTGCAGCATCAAGTCATGGAAGCGCTTACCTGTTCCTTAGTGCTCCTGTTCTTGCTACTTGAGGTTGGTCACAGAGACCACCCACCACGCTCTGAGTCCAGCTACCTGGACTAAGGTAGGGCTAATGCTACTTCTAAGACAGGTCCCTGAATCCATGAAGCCTGGGACCTGGGCCACAGCAATAACCAACACTGCTCAGTCTTTGTAGAAATATACTTTTATTCCTCAATGACAAGCACATTCAGAAGCAGGACTGAGAAGCTCTGCTATGAAATCCTTGGGGACTCATAGGGCTGCCCCCTTTCCCTCTCTGATCACTTCTTGGGTGATTCTCTTCTGGCCTGTAGGTCCTGCTCTCTCTCCTCCCAACTGAGGTTCCAGACATTCACTGCTATAAAAAAGCCACTGATACCAGCCCGAAGAGCAAGCAGAGAGGACCACATGCATCAAGTTATAGGAAGGAAGCCAGAAAGGAAATTAGCAAGGAGAGGGAGGGGCTTAGTAGGCATCCTGTGGCATGCCAATGTGAGGGCCGTGGTCTCTCTCCAAGCCTCTGGCCATGACCCTTTTCTTGCCAGGCGCTCCGACCCCAATTGCAGTCTGAGGGAACGTGTGAAACTTGTTGAGGTCCTGCGTGTATGTGCCCAGCACACAGGTACTCAGATTACCGCACCGCTTAGCTCTGGGGCTGTCCAGGCTGCAGGGAAAAGACATGCCAGATGGTACCATGCACTGGGTCTGCCCCGTGGCTGTCACATAGAAGGTTAGACCAGGGAGGGGTCAATATGAGTGGAGGCAGGAGGGGCAGGCAGGAGGGCAGCTCACACATCGTCTGTTAGGAGAACTCAGAGGTTCGCTGAGCCAGAGCAGTGTGGGGAAGGGCTGCGGTGGAGAAGCTGGGGCCTTTTCTGGAATTCCACAAACTGCTCAGTCCTTCATGCTCTGCAGAGAGGGTCTCAGGGCGGATGCAGGTGCAACACGTGCCTCTACCCGGGCAATGCTGGGGCCAGACCAGGGGCTGTCTTGTCTCCAAGCTCAGGGTGCACAGGGAGGGAGGGCTGGGAAGGGTGCCTGGCCCCTGACAACAGGCACATCTCCACAGATCCTACACATCTCAAGACCCCAGACCTACCTCAGACACTGCTCTACCCGACCCCACCCTCTGCAAGGCCTCTGGCTTCACCTTGCAAATGTGCAATGAAGGCGCCTTGCAGGTGAGAAAGAATATCATATGCAGGTTAACAAGGTGGAGCCAAATTTTTAAAATCTTCTGAGATATGTGGGGTCCATCTGTTGGCTTCACACTTACCAGTCCTCACTCCTCCAGTGCTGAGAGATCTCTTCAGTAGGGAAAGACCAATTCCCAGAGTGAGGAATTGCACACCTTCCCTAACTGCTTTCAGAAATGGATCTTTTTACATGTGGTCTAACCATGGTCTCTCCACCTGACCTCTGTCTTCAGTGGAGCCTGAGAACAGCTGGGCCCCAAGCTGGGGTGAACGGACAGCCTGCTGGCCTCCCATCCAGCTGTGTTCTCTCCTACCTCTCGGGATATGCCTTCTTGGGCATGACAGGAGGGAGGGGATGCCCTGTGCTGGGCGGGGCGGGGAGCCTCACCTGGGGCCCTCTGTCTCCTGCTCCAGCTCCAGCTCACTGGCCTTCATCTGCACATAGTCCTTCACCAGCGCAGCCAGTAGGAGTTGCGATTCCTCCTCAGTGAGCACAGCAGGATTCAGGCGGCTCTCCACAGCAGACCTAGGGAGGAGAAGCAAACCCAATATAGGCTCAGAACCCCTGCTTGACCCTCCCCAGGATAAGCAGCCAGGCTTCCCGGTTCTTGTGACTTCTTCTGAGGATGTGACCACCCCAAGTCCCAGTGGACAGAGCATGAGGCCAGTTTTCTTTTGAGGGCATTGATTCATCAGGAGCCAGGCACTGGTGTGACCTCCAAGCAGGGGTGTGCTAGATCCAGATCTTGCAGACTTGTGAAAGGTAAAATTTTCAGAAATTTTGTGAACCTGGTTTTAAGTACAGCCAATATTAAAAATTAAATGATAAAACTTAAAGTAGTGCTAAGGCTAAAAAGGGTTTCAGTTTAATAAATATAATTTGTACCAGACTAAGAAATAGGTTAACAGATCACATATCAGATTTAAAACAACAAATTTATTGGCAAAATAGGTAGCAGATTAGAACGCAATTCATGTCCCAGATCATGGATGAATTAGATAAATGGGCTAGCTACAGATAGAAAAGTTTGGTAAAAGGCAACAAAAGCCTTCTATGAAGTTTAATGAGCTATATGAAATTTACAATAAAGAATATTGTATATCTTATTTCTATTTGTAAATTGTGTGTTATATATCTTTATATCATAAAAAGTTTACAATAAACTTATATGCAGATTTACATACATAGATTTTCCCCCTGAGAGCTGGTTGTTAAACATTCAGAGCACAGAACTGTGTGATCTCAGGGACAGTGGGAGGGGAGTGCGCTCCTAGCAGGGCTGTCTTACCTGAATGGTGCTGCCTGGAGGACGCCTGCCTGGTACAAGACCAAGATGCTAAGAGGCAGGAAGGGGGAGAACTTCCAGAAGCCCATGACGCCTCTCTGCAAGGGAAGAATGACATCACCACCTGCGGCAGTTGGAAGTTCTCTGAGCCCACAGACCTGGGCTCCGGTCCTGCCTCTGCCTATGACTCCCTGGCTTCCTGGCTTCAGGCTGGTCATGTCATTTCCCTTCACACTTGTTTCCTCATCAGCAAAGTGGATGGAAGGTCCAGTGAGCCTGCAGCAGGCAGGTTTAGCACAGTGGGAGAAATCCTAGCAGGACCACTGAGTGAGGAGGTCTCAGTCTATAGCCCCCTCCCTGCCACCCTACACATTCTCACATACACCTGTTGGCCAGGTCTCCATTGAGGACAGTCTTGGAGCACCCTGCCACCACAGTTGTTCCCACTTCGCAACCCAAAGCTATCCTCCCTGTGTGGAGCTGTTTCTCACACCTGGAAGGGTGTGTGTTAGGGGAGCAGATAGAGAGGGAATATCCCTGAGTTTGGAATCTCTGACAAACTGAAGACCAAATTCAACTGTTCAGCAGCTCCGCACTTTCGCAGAGTTCCCTGTAAGAACAAAGCTTAGCACGGTGTTAAATTGGGACGCAGGACTCAAACTGAAGGAAAAAGCTCCCAGAACCCACAACTGAGGCTTGCGTCTAACCGCCCCTCAGTCGTTGTGCCTAGTTGCCACCCATTTGCGCTGGCCCAGGTTGCTAACTGATTTCCCGGGGATCACAAGGATCCAGATGCGATCTGTGAGTGCACAGTTTGCAGAAAGCTACTCCTGCGTCCTGCTCTAAGCACGGTGCCTGGGGAGCTCGAGCATCCCAAGATTGGCCTAAGCACGTGTGCAGCAAGAAACTGAGACTGGAGCCCACATCAGCGCAGAAGAGTGGAGCAGAGAGTCCCCGAACTGAGACTTTCCAGTCTTACCTGGGGCAGGAGCCTGGAATGAATCGTGGACTAACAGAGATTGTGTGATGAAGAGACTCAGACAGAAGTGGACAGAGACTCTGGGACAGGGAAGGAGATCAGCCAAGAGAGAGACTAATGCAGAGAGAGGGAGAGAGAAATAGAATCACACAGCTAAGCAGGAATCTTGGGCTCACCGGGCAGCAAGTAGCTTGGAGCAGAGAAGGCGGCAGCACCAGCAGCGTCGACGTCAGGGGACAGCACTGTGAAGTGTCAATGGCACTTGAGCTGGACAGTGGCTCTCATGCCTCCCAGCACCGGCTGCTGCTCTTATTCCTGCTGCTCTGGGTCCAGGGTGGTCCAGGAGGTCTGGGCAGCCAATGAGGGGAAAGATCCTGTGCCCCGATGGATTGTGTCACCACTTGCGTCCAGAACCTGGAGCATCCAGCAGGACCATCCCACTTGTATTTGCATTGAGGTCATTGATGGAAGGGGGAGGGGTGGTGACCAAGGAAAAACACTCTTAAAGTGAGCATGAATTTGAGGATAGTTTGACGTCATGGTAAATTTCACCTGTTCAGTTCCACTGGTTATCAACAGAAGCTCCACTCCATCCCCAGCTGTGCAGTCTTCTAGGGCAGGGTCCACGACGGTAGGGACTACTGACTCCCCCAGACACACCCTAGACCCCCGTCCATGTGAGAGTTGGAAGGTTAATGCACAGTGGGGTTGATTATGGACCCAGGCAGGGTGTCTGATTCATGCATCTGGAATCACCCACAGAGGAGCAGGGCTCCTGGGAAGCAAGAGATGGAGGTGAGAGCAAGAACTTTGTCAAACCTGAACTCAATTCCAGCTGCACCAATTCCAGGTGGTAGGATCATGGGGAGGTAACTTCTCAGTGCCTCAATGTACTCATCTTTGAAATGGGGACCCTATTCCCATCTTGCAAGAATGTGCCTGGCCCCCAGCTAGGTAGGGATCTAGAAGAGCTTCCTGGCCCACGTAGGGGATTCTGTAAGATCGCATTCCATACTTTCCAAACCCCCACCTAGTGTGGCTTCCTAGATTCCTGCTGGGTGGTCCATTATCTGGTTAGAAGGGGTCATATGCCCCGCTGGGCCTCAGCCAGGAGATGCAAAGCACAGATGCTTCCCCAGCCTCCAAGCAGCCCCTAGCCCTCCCCTTCTTCAACCACCTCCCCCCAACCCCCGCCATCCATCACCTCTCTGTGGTCCGCCTGTCCCAGCCATTTGCCCAGCTGCCCCAGCTTCCTTCCGCTGTTTGCCAAGACGTCCCAGTGACGTGCAATTCCGGCCCTGCACCGGCGTCCCCCGCGCTTGAGCCCTCCACTAGAGATCAGGGCAGGTTTGACGCTGCTGAAGAGTCCCTGCCGCTACTAACGCTCACACTCACTTCCAGCCACACGCTTCCCCACACACAAACTCATAACTGTGCTACTTAAACATGTGCCCACTCCCCCAAAGCACAGGCACTCACAAAAAGACGCTGGCGCGCAGGGGCATCCGTCCGAGTTCACTCTCAGTCGCGCCCCAAGCGTGCCTCCGAGTCTCTTGTGGGATCGCACGCACACACCGGCATGATGATGACCTGGTCGCATCATACCTGCACTCACTGTCAAGAATAAGCGTGCTCCATAACATCAAGTTATGCAGAACCTCGATCCTCTCACCCTGCTCAACAGGGTTTCAGGACCCCTCTACCAGAGATTTCTGCTCCAAGCCTGCCTGGAAGGTCCGAGGTTCTACTGCCGCCCTCAGCGGATAAAGTGCGGAGAAAGAAGCTTCCCGCTGTCCCCAGGATATCTGGGTCTGAGCGCGCACTCGCGATCGGCGGCAGGCTGTACAGATCCGCCCAGCGCGGCAAGCACAGGCGCGGCATCGGAGTGGGACGTGGGGGCGGGGAGGCAAGGACCCCAGCTACGTGGTTCTCTCAGAAAAAGCGCAGACTAGTCCCGGGGGTGCCGTGAGTGACCCGAGCCACCGGTCCACAACCCAGTCCTCAGTCCCCAGGAGCCTCAGCATTTCCTAGGACACACCTGCCCGAGGCACGTCTCTTCCCAATCTATTTGGTGTTCTCCGTGCTCGGGGACACCTAACTTCCAAGATGCCCGTATTCAACTTTCCTCCTTCTTAACTCCTGGGGCGACACTGCCGCAAGGGAAGAAAACCTCGGGGCGGGGGAAGTGGGTGTCTGAAACTCGCTCTCCGCGAGGCAGACAGGCAGGGCGGCGGGGGAACCCAGGAGTGGAGGGACTGGTGGGTAGGACGCAGGTGCGCATCAGGCGCAGAGCAGGGAAAGCCTGCGGAGCAAGCGACAGGGCTCAGGATGGCGGATCCTGGGCTCCGTGCGTCCTGGAGCCTAGAATCAGGTAGCCACTGCTGAAACCCAGTCCTTGAGGGCTTGAGGGCTCAGCCATGTGGGTCCTGGGCCCTGACGTAGGCTTTCCGCGCACAGTTGCAGGGCCGAATTGGCGAAGGCGGCGTAGCGGATGCTGTGTGGCTGGAGGTTGCGCTCTGCCTCTTGAGGCTGTCGTAGGTGAGTCTGCACTCAGGTGACACATACTTTTGCGGGAATGACTTCCACTTACAAGACCTGAGGTTTCTAAAATGTGAACCTTCTGAAATCATTAGTAAGCATGTGTGTTCGTGGGATTGCATTTTCCTGAGGCGAGAAGCATAGCTTTCACCAGTGGAATGGGGACTGCAAAATGGTTAAGAAACGACTACTCTAGAAGCCGATTTCGTGGCCATGGCGGTTTTTTTTTTTTTTTAAAGATTTTATTTATTTAATTTTTTCCCCCCAAAGCCCCAGTAGATAGTTGTATGTCATAGCTGCACATCCTTCTAGTTGCTGTATGTGGGACTCGGCCTCAGGATGGACGGAGAAGTGGTGCCTTGATGCGCACCCGGGACCCGAACCCGGGCCACCAGCATTGCAGCGCGCGCACTTAACCACCAAGCCACAGGGCCGGCCCGGCAATGGCGGTTTGAGGGCTCAGAACTCTACCCCTGTCGGCCACGTGCGCCTTCAGCCTTCAACGCCAACATTCACTCGTCACTCTGAAGTCTTTGGTGGCTACAAACCGGGCTGGTGGTGTGGGGAAGGAATCCAGGTCTGCGCGCTTCTAGAAGGTGCTAGGGTAGCGTCCAGCAGTTTCATACTTGACTTTAAAGGTCAGTCTTCAGCTATGAAGAGACTGCTACTAACTCATCTCTCAAGCGCTGTTTGAACTTGTAAGAAGTGCCTGGTGCTGAGCTGGGGGTCAAAATTAAAAAAAAGAAAAAAAGTCCTTTACTTTGGCACTTAGCACCGCGTCTGGCACACTAGTAGGAACTCAGCCGATGTTTGATGAATGAATGGAACTAATTCATCCCGGCAAATTCACCACCCGGTCTCATCGCTGTTGCAGGGCTCTAATCCCAGCCTGCAGAACATCTGGGCCTTGTCAGGTGGAGCAGCGTTGTGCTTGGACTCTGAGATCGTGAGCACAAACATTTCAGTCAGACTCCTCCCATTTTATTTTGCATGCACAGTCGGTTTCCTGATAGAAGCTTCCAGGAAGGAGACAGGGGAATAAGGGTTACCCCGACGGTTCGTCCTAAAATCTAGAGTCTCCTAGAGCGAAATACAAGACCACTCTCCTCGGAGCCTGCCCCTGATTTACAAGTGGACTCAAGGGCGGCCAGACTTTCGCTGGTGCAGATGGCTTAGATCGCAACCAGCTATGCCTGCAACTTCCCTGAACTTCAGCACTAAACAGCAGGATCTAAGGAAAGTCGCAAAGGAAAATACTGATTTTAAAATAGCCCTTGATTTAAGATCTTATTTCATAACTTGTAAACCTGGAAATCAGGGTCAGTTGGAAACAATCTAGGTTGGAAAAAAAAGTTTTACAATACTCTGAAATTAATAAACAGAAACCACATTAAAGTTGAGAGGCCAGAAGGTGGAACTCGCATGCCCTACCTCTATAGCAGAGCCCAACAGGAGGAAGATAGACTTCTTCTTGACAGGCAAGAAGCTCAGCCAATGAGAGACTGTCACAACTCAGCCAATGAAAAGCCAGGACACATGGAAGGCTTGGCTCCTCCATCCGACGCTTTGTCTTCAGTAGCCCTCCCAACTTCCTCTTCTCCTCTATGAAAGAGTTTCTCCTCCCTTGCTGCTGGGGGATTTGCAGGTGGCTAGCCGTGGTTGCAGACCTCTCTGATACATGCCTGGCCATGTTGCAGGCTCATGGCCCAGCAGCATTAATGACAATTTGTGTTAAACACTGAACACATTGCCTGGCATGGAGCAGGCACTCAAGAGTGGTGGCTATTATTATCATTATAACAAAAGCTTACCTCTTAAAGTGCCAAAGTATATCAACCTGTATAGAAAATTATAAAAAATGCATTGCATATTCCTCTACCTTCTTAAAAATAACATTCATAAAAAGAATTCTTGAAAAGAATAAACTGAATATAATTTAAATCCTTTCTTGAGGATTCATTGATGCTATCATAAAAATAGCACTTAATGTGTTTGCATAAATACAGTGCTGCTCTCAGGGGTATAAGACATGTAGGGCCAATAGCCCCAAACGACATGATATCACACTGTTGATACTTTTTGATGTCTAGTAGCTATATAATTTTATAGTTATTCTATTTCATATCTTCCCATCAAGTTGTCAACTATCACTTCTTGCTCATGTCACTGTAACTCTTTAGTAACAATCCACACACTTGCATCTTCATTTGGTATGCAGTGAAACAAACAAAACAAAAACCAAGCTTAGTATAATGATATGGAAACAAAGAGCCTATAGGCATTAAGTGAGAACTGGTCAAGAATTATAAAAAGGGTCTTTGTGGTCATCTGCTCCATTGATCTGTACTCAAGAGAACAGAAACAAAATTTGTCAGAATTCTGTGAAAACACAGAGCAAATAGATCCTGGGTAAGCATGTATGAGTAATGGTCAGGAACTTCATGATCTTTTTTTCTTTTTTTATAGTTTGGCAGGATTTTTTTCCACAATTAATTTTTTTTATGACATCATATTGTTTTCCACAATGGCTATACATTTTTACATTCTGGCTATACACATATAGCAGCTGTACATTCATTTACGTATTACACTGTGCACCAAAAGTGCACAAAGTTTCCAATTTCTCCACATTCTTGCCAACATTTATTATTTGCTGGGTTTTTTTAATAGTAGCCATCCTAATAGGTGTTAGATGGTATCTCATTGTACTTTTGATTTGCATTTCCCTAACGATTAGTGGTGTTGGGCATCTTTTCATGTGCT